AAAAAAAAAAATCCAACTTTCATTTAGTTAGCCTGATTTTGAACCAGTTTGGAGTGAGAGTAAGCGATCCAGGACTGCCTCAGAATCAGGCTAGCATTCAGCTGAAATTTAGAGAAAGCTAAGATATGAAGGAATGTTGTCTTATTGGATTGTGATATCATTTCATTTCAGAGTTGTTGATGATATGGGAGGTTTAAAGTTGAAAAAGTCGTTTTCCGTCGAACACAAGTCTCGTCATGTAAGAAGCTCGTTTTGTCCACTAATGTCGTTCAGACAAGGAGCTTGTGTTGGTATGTATTACCAATAAATCGTAAATTCCACTGACTTGGCATTTTCAAACTGATTGATGAGGGGAATATACCATAAAGTCACGAAGCACGAGCACCCGAAGGTAGCGACCTCAAACGTAATTTGACTTTTCGAGAAGCAATCGAAAGAACAGATACAACAAGCTAAACCAAAGTGGGCTAATGTCTCTTACAAAAGGCAAGAAATTGAACATTTATCCCTTCAGTTCTCTTTATCATTCAATTCAAATGAATCGTTACAAATGCGCTTCACGTTTTAGGAACTCGAAAGTTGCCACTTCCGAAATCTGATAATAACTAGGGTCGTTACTTTCTGAACTTTAATATATATGAAAATAAAATCAACCAATCCATAAAGCAGATATTTTCTTGATCTTCGACATTAGGATATGTAGCACATTCAGTTGGAATGTTTGATACCAGCATGGTTAGATGCCCTTAGATATTCTTATTTCGCCGCATAACATTAAGATGAAGCAAACTCTCATATACCTTTAAGTGGTGTAGTGCTTGGCCTTAAAACATGATCAGTTTGCTAACATCGCTTTAAGCGTCGATACGTGTGATATTATATTATGCGCTTTTTATCCTGTAGTGAGCGGCAGCGAAGACATGGCGGTGTATTTCTTCGATGTTGAACGCGCTGAGAAGCCTTGCGTCAACAAACTTCTTGGCCACTCGGCACCAGTCCTCGACGTTTGCTGGAACTATGATGAGAGCTTACTGGCATCTTGTGATACTGAGGTAGATGACTTGCCTAACTTTTTGTGCATCTATAGTCTAAGGAGAACAAGTGCTGTTGCTTTGTATTTTGTGCAGGCCAAGGAATATGATTTTATTATTCTTCCTATCTAAGCGGGACAACTACGTCTCAGCCTGGGAATCCTGATCATTTCTATAAGTCCTTACCAAAAGTTTTCGCGACGCGAAGATATGACAATGGGAGGGCAGGGGGAGGCAAGAAGGGGGAAAGGAGGGCACTCAGGGTTGAGCAGGGCATGCAAGGGCTGGACAGATGAGGAAAGGGGAAGAGAGGAGGGTGGAGTTATCTGGAAGCACCATCTTAGTCTGAATAGGTGACTATTGATTTGTTGTCTGTTGTGAAAGTATACTTATTTTATATATGTTGTCTTTTTAAGGGAACTGTCATCGTGTGGAAGCGAGAGCAGCGAGAAAAGCACGTTCCATGATATGCTGATGAATATAAATTTTAGATAATGTTAAAATTATAAATGAACAGTGTATGTAAAATAATATCATAGTCAACAGCAGACATTTAGAGTAAAAAGGTATAATCTTTTAAAGTAATGTAGACTTGGAATACTGCACATACGGAAACTGTTTCCAAGTGCTTTTCACAACCCTTTAAAAGTGCTAAAACTACTAAAAGTAACTTATACTGTGTTATTTTATTATTTTACCCTGCACTCTCTATCTTTTTATGTAGTCGCTGAGATAAGATACGAAATCTTCAATTTTATGCATTTGTGCCTCGCATCCACACAGTTTCACGTGCATCACACGTGTTTGCAGACACTAGTTCGTTGGCGTTTCTTGGCACAACAGGCGGAAATTAGTTTAACTCTGCGCTTTGCGGTTTGAATAACAAAGTGCGCTTGTCTCAGGATGGGAAGAGAAGTATGACCCTAGAGCATATAGCTTCATTGCTAGGTTCCGTCCAAAGGTTATGGCCTTGAGTATTATAGGGCTGATAATGGGTCATGATTTTGCCTTGGGGTCTGATATTGGAATAATAATTATTTTAGGTAAATCTCACTCGCATGTTGACATAACTGCCCTCTCTTTTCCGCGCGCTTTCATCTTCAAACGAAAATGATGGCAAGAGAAGTAACCAAGAAGAATTTTCAATTCATGCGATAATGTGCGCAAACTGCCAGGTGTGTTGTTTCGGTCAGGATTTGGAGAGTCGAGTGAGCACCAGCACCAAAAATTCCAAGAAATCCACCTATTTAAACGTTTTCGATCATAATCGTGCGAGGTTGTGCAAGGACCAACCTCATTCCACTATTTGCCAATGTAAAACTCCGTATAATTAATTAACTTAATGAATTATCAGTAAGTTTGAGAAGTTGGTACAATTTTGCCTCACATGTTATACCGTACAATTATAAGCCCCCTCCTGAAAACGTTTAAAAGCAGTTTAAAATAACATTATCCAAATGTAAGTCTGCCACATTGTAGATTTGGAAGCCATTTCTCCATGGGCGGAAAATGTACACGAGCACAGCGGAGGTGTTTTTTCGTAACCAATGATTAATAGTTACGAAACGAATAGCTCTTAAAATTTCACTTTTCACTTTTTTTCTTTAATCTCATATACACTGTATACATAATCATTGTCTTCGTTAACCTGCTGTACAATATCTGTATTTTGGAGACTTTTTTTTTTGTTATGCTAGCGGAAAGTAAGAGAAACTAGTAAACACCAACCTGCATCATGCACAAGTCACCCTGAGCGGTCTATAGTCACATTGTCTTCATTAATTTGGTTTCACTCCGGGGTAATGTATACCAGTAGGTTCATCCGTTTGTTTAAAAACACTGAAAATCTCATCAAGATTTTTGTTTTGACTTTCTGACGACCCGTTGTCTGTAGGAAATATCACTGAAAACAATGCTGGCAAAAACTTGATTAACTTTGGCCTGAATTTCCGCCGTCGTTTCCCATGTGGTCGTTCTTAGGAAAAAGTGATCATAATAATGCTTAAATTCTAGGCTCATTTAACTTCGACGTTGACTGTTGCCTTTAAAAAAGCATTATTAATAGAGGGCAGTGGTTATGAAGCCTGACAAACATGAAAGGAGCAAACATCGAAGAAATACGTCACTTCAAAATCCAAGACCGTGCACTATCTCTTGTTGTTTTTCGCTCATGAATAATGTCAGCTCCTCAGACAGTAAACAACAGATGTGTTTTGTGCACGGTCATAACCATTTCCCTATATTAACTACGAGAAAGGGCTCAGAGCTTTTAAGCGCCGCTTAATTTTTTAATCATAAACGTTTCTTTCATATCGTCACCCAATGAAAACTTATCTACATGTATGAATTAGAAAGTAATCTGAAAAACTGAATGTAAGTGGGGGAGTCATTAAAGTTGCAGGTAACTGCGATTACATTACTTTGCAATCTTTATGCATGATCAGTTGTCCAATCCCAAAATGTGCAGTTTGCCTAGAACCTTTCTTTCTTCACAATGTGGACAATGGCGGTGCAATTTTGCAGCTGAAAGCAATCAAATAGATTGATTTTCACCCTTAACTGTGTTACAACCTAAATTATTTACGATTTTCGACGGGCGTTCTTTATTAAAACTGGAACGTGGCAAAAAAATATTGATGGTTTGTGTATTAATTCAAGCCCTTTCTTAGTTCAACGTAATTATTGAAAACTCGAAAGGCAGTAACCATTTCTTACAAGGTTCGACTGCAAATCTCTGACAGGATACTGTAGCTTGGCTTGGCTTGAACTCAAAGTTGAAAAATTTACTTGTGCATCTACATACTGAAGAACATGGCTACGAAATGGCGTGCATTTGTGGTCAACACAACTGTTCACGGTCTTCGCTATGTATACGAAAGCCCATCAAGAGTATTTCGCGTTCTGTGGTTACTTCTGTTGTTAACAGCCATCGTATTTCACGTTTTCTTTACCCTACAGAGTTTTTTGAAATACCATTCCAATCCAATCAGCACCGAATTTACAGAAGTTATTCCTGCGAATGGAGAGCTCGTATTTCCCGCCGTAACCATTTGTAACTTGAACCGATTCGTCAAGCGTAAAATCGACATGCCCGAATCTGAGGGGGACTTTTCCAAACTGGGTTTAAACCTTTCCGCTTGTGAAGCGATAAAGAAGGTCAACAAGGATATGACTTGCGGACAGGGATTGCTGTGCGCGTTTGAATTGTTTGGTTCATTTGTCGCAGAGAACTGCAACGACACCATCAAAAGTCGCATTATCAGTGTTCTGAACAATACAAAGGAGCCAAGTTTTAATCCCAAGTTTTAAAGGAGTTTTTATCAGCCTATGGGCACGACTTTAGAGACATGTTACTACACTACTGTCGCTTCGCAGTGGTTGAAACTTGCTCATCAGCCGATTTTTATCCTTTGCTTGTCCAAAAAGGTCGATGTTTTACTTTCAATTCAGGGAGAAACGGGACAAGAATCCGACGAACAAGACGAACGGGATCTTCAGGAGGCCTTGGTGTTTTTCTAGATACACAAGTGCATGAAAACACCATCGGTGAATTTTCTCATGGGCTAAGAGTGATAGTGCATGAACAAGGAACACTCGTAAATTTTGAGAGAGGATTCAACGTGTTTCCTGGATCGCACACTTTGGTTCGGGTTACAACAACGAAAGTAAGTCTGATACGAAAACATTACTGAGTTGTATAGGCACTCTGGTGGGGTCTTGAACAATACTCTTTCAGGCTTTCCACTCAGATATGTAAATTTTAGACGCCTTCGAAATTCCGGAACTTTTGAAAAGGAGGCACATGGTACGGAAATTTGCTTAGGAAATTTCCGGAAAATCCAAAAATTATTTTATATCCCCAAAAAAACGATGGTTAACCAGCGGGTTAGGTGTGATACCGTCGAGTGTGCAAAGGCGATCCTGTACTATAATTGGTTGTATTTTCTAT